AAAGGAGCTTGTAGACACACAAGGACTTTGCAACATTTTTCCAGAGCCACAGTGCACAGAAAGTCAGGTCCAGACTGAGAAAACCTCTAAACATGTATAGTATGCTTAAAAATATGCTTCGGTGGTAAGAAAGAAAAGAAAGGGATAAAGACAGTCATAAAAAAAATAAGTAGTGTGAAAACAATACAATAAAGTATTTAAAGAGAATAAAGTAATAAAAAAAAAAAATAAGCCATGTAAGGATGGAAATATATGGGATGTTTGGATTCTCTATAGTGCTTTATTAACTTTAAGTTTTTAAATACTAATGAACAAAAAACAACAGCTGTGGACAGATACTGGATAGTTAAAAAAAAAAAAAAACTACTAAATTAAACCTGCCTACAGATTTTAAGGATGTCTTAACTTCAGAATGGAAGTCAGGAAATGTGTTGCATCAGGGCAGAGGTTATTCCTTTGCTTCCACAGGAAACAAAAGCTATGGATTCCTTCAGAATTAATAAAGATCAGAAAACCTTGCCTGCAGACTTGAAGAAACCAAGAAGAACTACAAGACAAGAGGCATATATGCTGACTCCTCTACATGGGAACAGCTCTGGGACTGGATGAGACATAGTAAGTCTTGTTGACTACAGAGTTCTCATGACTTATTATTACATGCCATCCTTACATCCTTACATATGGCATGGATGGAGATTTATATTACAGTTTGGCTATGCAGTCCAAATGGACGTATAAAGTTGGCAGATGCCTTTTACCTGCTCAAACACAGAACAGAAAATCATATTCAGCTGATTTGTGCTCACTGCATATCCATCCCATACTTGTGTTAATGTAGATATATATGTTACCTTTAACAATTTGTGTGTTTTTAGAAAAACAAAGACACCAGTAGAGACAAGTAGCCCAGGTGATCCAGCATTCAGAATGCCTCTGTCACAGATTCCTCAAAAATCTGCATCCAGAGTAACTTCAAAGCTGCTAGCTGAGATGGTCCAACCTTACACACTTTCCAGCCAGGACTTCAGATAAGCCCTGTACTTTCCCATCACATAGAGACTGGACAACAAATGATACAGCTAGCTCTCCCAGGAAAATTATACTAATTTTCTCAGCTTCCCCTAAAGATGTCATTGTCTCCCCAGACAACAGGAAATAATTTTAAGAACATGATGCTTACCGGGCAGTGGTGGTACACGCCTTTAATACCAGCATTCTGGAGGCAGAGACAGGTGGATCTCTGTGAGTTCAAGGCCAGCCTGGGATACAGAGTGAGTGATAGGTAGGACAGGACAGGCTCCAAAGCTATACAGAGAAACCCTGTCTCAAAAAAAAACAAGCAAACAAACAAACAACAACAACAAAGAACATGATGCCCACATTCCTAAGAGGTGGGGTGGATGATTTTTGGTTGTTCAGTGGGTTGTGGATGTATGTCGTTGTTTAGGGGAATTAGCTGCAAGTTGTTATTGGTCCTAGTCAGGGAGGAAACTAACAATGGAGGTTGGATTAGGAGACTTCTTTCTCTCTTTTTCTTTCCTCTATCCTTCTTTCTCTCCTATCTAGTGAAAAAAGGGGGATATAGGAATGATAGGATGAAAGGGTAGATTATTGAATCTACTAAAATGTGACTACTAGTGACTCAAATATTTTACATTGGTACAGATTTTTGTATATTGATACAAATTTAATGTTATTTTTGTTATAACATATTGTATGTGTTTCTACTCTTGTTTAAGGTATTGTACCTACATAGCTCATTTAAAACTGGAATGTAAAGTTCTGGTTCTTGAAAGCTATTATTACAAACTGTTTAGGATAATTAAGAAAGGCAGATTAGTAATTAGTTGCCTATAACAGTCAAACTTGTAGTTATGTTAGGTATATTTTCAAGGTCAAACAGAGACATATTTTAAATAGACAGGTGGTCTTCAAACACTTCAGAGATCTAGAGAATATGTCATTTAAGATGTTTTAATAACACAAGGCTTTTCACGACAGTAAGACATGTCTGCTCCTGGCAGCTCCGATATACTTCAGAGAAGATGATGGACATCATAGAACCTCCATGTGGAGTATGCTTTCAATGTGGCAAAGCTAGCTAGCCACAGGCAAGAAACTGCCCTTGGCTCAACTACTGACAGTATGCTATCCAAATTGGACAAGCAGGACCCAAAGGAAGTTTACCCCTGAACTTTGCCAAGACAAGATAGGCCAGGCCTTCAAAATTCCTGCTTCACAGAAGTCTGACATGATCATTATGGCAAGAAGCAGACAGCCCTGGTGCTTAAACTGTAGCTGAGAGCATTACATCCTGATCTGGAGACAACAGGCAGAGAGGGATGAGAGAGAGGGGGAGTGAGAGGCTGGGCCTGGTATGAGCTTCTGAAACCTCAAAGCCCACCCCAGTGACAAACTTCCCCTAACAAGGACATACCTGCTCCAACAAAGCTATGCCTCCTAACCCTTCCAATCATTCTCAAACACTGACTGAGCATTCAATACAGGACCCAGTGGAGGGCAATCTCATTCAAACCACCACAGCTGGGTTTACTCTCCTTTTCTGACCGAACTGCACAATTATCTTATCTTTCTACTTTCTGTCATCATAATTCTGGCTAAGAATAAGCAATAACACAACCTGGATGCTAAGCTGTCTTGAAATTTCCTCTATCAAACAAATTAGTCCATTATTTTTTAAATTTAGCTTCACTTAAACTTTCAAGACTTACGTTTAATATAGCCATATGCTTTGCCAGAATGTAACATGAATGACAACTAGCCTGGTTCCCAATAGAGTCCCTGTTCTCTGAAACCTCAGAAGCATGGACTTTATTGCCCGTGTTCCTATCTACATTCTGGTCTTCTGTTCTCCCACCAGAATGGCCCATTAAGCTGTCCACACAGCATACAAAGCTTCTCTAACCTGTGGCTCCCAACTCTTCCACATTTTCCCCACAAACCAGCTTCAATGGCCTAAAGCCACATATCCATCTTTATTACTTATGCTTCCAATGTACTTTAGTCACTGGTCTATTGCTGTGATGAAGCACCATGACCAGGGCAACCTATAGAAGGAAACATTTAACTGGGGGCTTGCTTGCAGTTTCAGAGGGTTAGTCCGTGATCACCAGGGCAGGGAGCACAGCAACAGACAGTCAGACATGGTACTGGAGAAGTAGCTGAGAGCTCACATCTAATGTGCAAGATGTAAGGAGAGGGGGTTGGGGAGACTGAGCCTGTCATAGACTTTCAAAAGCTCAAAGCCCACCCCAACAAGGCCATGCCTCCTAATCCTTCCTAAACAGTTCCACTAACTGAGGACCAAGCATTCAGACCCATGAGTCTGTGGGGCCATTCTCATTCAAAGCACCACACTGGGCTAACATAATCTTGAAATACATGAATAAGAAAATTAAATGCAAGGAGATAAAGATAGGAAAGAAATGTACCTTCTGCCTTTCCTATTTTGTACCGTGTGTGTGTGTGTGTGTGTGTGTGTTCCTACTTTAAAAGTCAGTGCTAATGACCTGAATAAAAGAAATGTCAGACTTCCCAAAGTAGGTCTCAACCCTGCTCAAATCTTTTCCCACCCTTGCTTTCCTATCTACTCACCTGTACCTGTTCAAGAGCAACCTTGCATTTCTTACTGACTGATGAACTTGTGACCCATTCCTTAGTTCATATATTAATCAGTACGTTCTCATCCTTTTAGGAACAGTTCTGAAGCACAGCCAACAATTTTAAGCCAAATTCTAACTACCCAGGAGTCCAGGAGCCCACTCTGACAACCAGGACCCTGCTATGGATCCTCTCCTCCGAAATGGGGTGGTTACAAGTATGATCATAAAAGTCTATTTATCCCATTGTTGTCTCTTGCTTTATTTGAATTAATCTTTGTAACTAGGTTTCTTGCAATCAGAGACAGATAGACACCCTAAATGTCTTTGTACTCTTAGCATTGCAGTTTAGGGACAAGCACACCGTGTGTCCACTACCCCAGGGAGGGCGGAAGACTGGGTGCTGGAAGGACAGTCTCTTCATATAGAGTCCTCTGCCTGAAAGCACTGTCACCAGAGTAAGTTTCTCAAGGGCATTCAGAAGTGCTAGGGTGTCAGGGACCTACTACAACAGCCACAAAGGCTAGTTAGGATATAGGAGTGATGGGTCATGGGACTGAAATGAAAAATGCCTGCCTTGACTGAAATCTTCATAGATCAAGATTTGAGAGAGAGAAAAAAATCTTCAAGTAAAAGCCATACATCCAACCATAAGCAAGGAGACATTGGCAGTCACAGACAGAAATGACCATTAAGTCAGCCCTTGTGTGCATCACCCTAAGCATTCAGGAGGCTTCCTATGGTGCTGCATCAATGTACCTTGGAGGAGGACCATGTTCATGGATGCTCTCCACCCACACACTGTAGGCCATCTTTCTGCCCTGAATGGTGTCATTTAAAAATACCACCACCTTGGCTTTATCAGAGCAGCCACAACCAGCCCCTCTTGGAGTTTTGATCTCTGGCATCACCTTGTTTGAAACAGCAAAGCTCTCCATTTCCAAACCATCACCATGCTGTACCCTCTAAACCCCTATGTGTTTCCAGGTCAGATGTGGAATTAGAGGAGGTCTCTCCCCCAGCCACTCTTCCTCTGAAAGTTCCCTGCATGCCAAAGAACTCAAGGTTCTGTGCATTCGTGCAAGAGGAAGCCAACAAAGAGGTTGGTATGGGAGACAAAGGAAGTAAAGTATGTGTGTGTGTGTGTGTGTGCGTGTGTGTGCTGAGTATGGCACCTATAGTCTTGGGGTCCATAACCTTTGCAGATGACCACACACACACACACACACACACACACACACACACACACACACACACACACACACAGAGTGGGGGGGAGAGACCTGTACAGAATGAAGTTCTACTGGAACAACCTCTGTGGAACAGAAGCCTTTGTGATGCACTCTGGTGTCCTAATTCTATCCTCTGTGAGGCAGCCATGACAATGCCCAGTGCTGAGAGCCATTAGGCACTTAGGCCCCTGAATAACTAGATGCAGAGATGACTGGTCCCCTCATGCTAATGAGGTTTAGGCCATGTTGAGCTCTGCCTGTTCTCTGTGGGACATCAGTTCTCCTTTATGTACCTATAGCTCCATCTTCATCATTTTTCTAATTGCCTGGCAATTAAGAAGGACTTACCAGGGATTGAGATTGGAACCTAAAAAGAGCTGCTGCCGGGTAGGAAAACACTGACTAAACTTGAACTACTCTAAGCCTAGATAAGTAACTTTAAATTTAAGAGCCTCTCCAGATTGCCCCCATTTTGTGCCAAAGGACTTAGAAAAGAAAGGAAGTGGTTACAGAGGACCTATAAATATTTCCTCACCAGGTCCTCCCTGCAATGTACTCCAACTGAAAAGCCAACAGCCTCTGTACTTGTCTTTAGTTGATAATTAGATAATAGAAAAACTACCACACTGGATCTCAGAAGACCTCCCGAGTGGGGGGTTTCTCCACTTGGAGGACTTAGTGAGCAGGCATCCATGCTGGCAAAAATGTCTGTTAAGCTTTTCTCCCTGTGCCGCCCTCTCTACAGAAGTTCTTATGAGTAGAGGCATGAGGAAGGAGGATGGGAGCCTTAAAGTGATTCAGAAATAAGCAGGGAAGGGGCATGTTCAGGCCGAAAGAAAGGCAGAATCCAGGTGAGGCAATGTAAGGGAGCATGTAGCATATAGGGAAATATATACTATCTTTCATTTTAGACACGAAGAAGGAAAATGGAGTCCTAGTTTCACACTGTAATATTTTTCTCTTTAAGCGTCACCGAAAAGTCAGGCAAAGGGCTAGAGATGCAGCATCAAGAGGTAAATTCCCAGTGTCTCCTGATTCCCCCCCCCCTCCCCGGGAGAGCTCGCACCTCCTCTGTCCCTCTTTGAGCCCCACTGCCAAGAGCCAGGTGTTCTAACTTCTGAAACTCTTCTTCTTCTACAATGTGTGGTTTACAGGGAAGATTGCTGTGGGTGGGAACTGAGAACACAGGGCTGCTCCAAAAGGTTCTACCTAATCCCCTTGAGGATAAACAATTTCGGAAGTGCTATAGATCACTGTACAGCAAGAGATCATTTAGAGTTTACTGCCTCTTCTCGGTATGGTGATGGCGCTGAGCAGAACACGGGAGGAGTGACTTGTTTTGTCTCCCAGCTTCAGCAGAGAAGGCATGGTGGCTGAGCGGCTTGCCTCAGAGCAGCAATAGCTTGCAGCATGGCTTGTTCATATCAGGGTATATCAGGAAGCAGAGTTCAGGCAGGATGGAAGTGGGCTGTAATCCTTAAAGATCCATTCCTTTGGCCCTGCCACTTGCAACGCATATAGGCTCTCCCTAGAACTGGCTATGCTCGGTACCACCAGCATCCCGTGTCCAGCTTTCCATTCCTCTGGGATTACTACCATCCTAGAGCCTCCATTATAACTTGGGCTTCAATTTTTACAATATCACATCTTTCATGCCACAAACGGATGGAACTGGGAGCCAAAATAAACTTCTCTCTTACATTACTAATATCAGGTATTTTGTCATAGGAAATATAAAACCTGATTAAGAACTAGTCTTATGACCCTGTAAAAAATTCAACCTATTAAACCATCCACAAAATAGGCATAATACAGATCACCCTGACGTGACTGCAAAGATCAAATGAAATTAGGCAAGAACATCAAATTTTAAATAGTTATGCTACATACAAACACATGCCTTAGAGTACTGAGTTTAGGACTTCAGATGTCTCTTGCTGACCTAAAGGTCTTCCTATAGAACATCCCTAAAATGCCTGTTCACTACATAACACTGTGTCCTGATTCCTCAGCCAGGAAACCTTCCCAAGAAAAAGCCGAGAAGCCGTGGAAGCTGCTCTCTATCATGAAAAGGTGACCTCTTGAACTCTGTGGTCTAAACTGATGATTTCTTGTCTGGTCTGGCCTGGGGGAAACACACTGGAGCTGAGAGGGTTGTCAGGGCAGAGGTGGTTCACACACACCTCAGGAGGGAAGAGATACCCAGTACCCAATTCTCCGTTAGGATCTCAGCAGCTCTGCAGTTCAGAACTGACTAGTGCACGCTTCGTAAAGGACATTGCTGGTGTTGCACTCAGACAACAAATTGTCAAGAGAGTGGATTTGGCATTAAAAAAAAAAAAACATCACATGTCATACCTGCTTCCAGCTACTCCCTTTCAAGGGCAAAGCCCTGGGTCTGGCTGGACCCCACTGATATTACCTCCTGCCTGTCTGGGAGCAGGGGAGCACTTGCTGGGACACCTTCAGCCCATCATCATATTCCTCCACTTAATTTCTAGAGAGTGTGAATTGTCCCCAAGGATTCCCTGGGTACAGCAGCAGGGACATCCCATGTTTTGAATGGTTCCAACAAGGACCTCATTTGCCAGTGTAGGCTCAGAAGAGTGGGACTGGAGGAAAGGGCACAGCAATCCCCAGACACAGTCCTCCAAGGAGGGAGATGTCATTCCGTCATTAACAGTGGCCGTTTTTCTCTTCCTAGCCAAAGCTGGCTCCCCACGGAGGGAAATGTGCGGCAGCTCCTGTGTGTAGATCCGTGCTGCCAAATTTGTGATGCTGCAACTCTAGAGATTCAGCAGTTGCTGGAGAGTGATAAAAGTCAGATCTCCCCTGCTTTGCTGGGACTGCCACAGGGCTCTTCGTGCCTCGACATGTTGCCCATATCCAGTGTGCCTTTTGAGCAGAACATGGATCTTTATTCCAGGCACTCCAGACATCTTTCACTAGCATCTGGGACTCCAACACTAGCACAACTAACTGAGCACTTAACACAGTCGACCAGTGCAGTCAGTGTCCAACAATACTGGGCTGATCACATCCAGCTAGATCAGAAATTTCACCTGGCAGACATGCCCATGATTTCAGAGACTGTGGTTTCTTCAAGGCTCGAGGACCCTGTGGTTTTAATGGTTGAGGAAAAGCTAATGCAAAACGAACCAAAGCTTGGCCAGGAAAGCCAAGACCAGCATCCCTTGAAGTCCTCTGTGTCTTTACTATCCCTGAACCCAAAGATCACGAACTTAACACGGTCTATGTCCTTGCATATGGACTCAGTGCTGTCTTCCCACGTGCCATTACTTAGTCCTGAAGTCCGGAGGCTTCTTGAACTACATGTAAAAAAATGGATACATTTCCAGAAGTGGGGCCTTCCCAAACGTGTGGAGGAGTCCCTGAGGCAGCTCATGCCAGACCCGACATTATTTTGTCAATCTCGAAAAACTCTGCTTTCTTCTTTTCTGAGCAGTGGTTCTGAGGTCTCTATGAACAAAACTGGGACCATTTCCCACCAGAGCTGCTGGATTTCCGAATGGTCTGTTATAAAACCCAAACAAAGAAAGCACTGGCACCAAATACTTGATTACTTGCCCTCTCATGAAGAACACCTAAGTGGCTGCAGTCCACCTTCCAAGGCACAAACTAAGGACTCTGGGAGCCATCTTCAGAGTGAATATTATAGCCAGTTATTCTGTGGCCTTCCATCTCTTCACAGTGAGTCCCTGGATGTTACTTCCTTGAGCACTCAAGGTGTCTCCCAGAACAAGGATGTGGCCAAGCCCAAGCCCTCCTCCACAGGTCCTCAGCACACAAAGGAGTTCTCACACCCCTTATTGCCCAAAACTCCGTGTAAGTCGGCCCCTCCGTGTTCTCCAGCTTCTCCAGATGCCAAGACTCCTCATGAAGGACCACGGATCACTGTCCCCTTTCTGACTCCAGCTGAGTGTGAAGCATTGGAATGCCACCTCATAGAGAGACAGGTCAAGCTTCAGTGGGGCCTGCCAGGTGTCTTCCTGAGAAATCAGTACAGCCACATGCTGTGTGAGCCACATGAGAAAGCTGAGACTCTGAAAACTTGCTGGTCAAGGAAGATCTTCTCACATCCCATCAGGAAAGCGTCCTTCCCAGAGCATGTGCGCAGGCTGCTGGAATTCCACTTCCAGAAGCAGCTGATTCACCTCCGCTGGGGCCTGCCCCAGAGGATCCAGCGCTCCATTCACCTGCTCCTCTCCTCTACTGACCAGCAGGCCCTGTCCTGCAGCAGCAACAGGGCACTACCCAGTATGAGCATCCCACAATCAGAGACCCATGGGTCTGGTGACAGGTCCACACCCACAGTGGACAAAAGGCCAATTCCGATGCCACACTTGTTTGTCCAGGCAAAGGCAATGTTGAAGAACCATGTTGATTCCAAATGTGATCAGATCCACCAGGGCAAGGTCCCAGCCCAAGTCTGGAGCTCTTGGGAATGCAAAATCTCTGGAAGGTTGGCAGCAAGGGCTCCCTTCTCTTGGATTCAAAAAGGCCAACATCTGAAGCTACAAGCAGAAAGTAAAAGTAACAAGATTGTTCCCTGGAAACCAGTGGCCCTCAACCAGGAGAAGCAGGCCCTATCAGGTGCTCTCATTGAGCACTGTAAGCGGCCCCAAGCCCTGTCTGAGGAAACCATTAAGAAACTGGAGACAACTTTACAGCATAAGTATCTGGCCTTCCTGTCAGGCCTGCCTGCCCTTTACTGTGTGGCTCTCTCTAGGCCCACATCCCCAGCAGTCACTAGCCAACCTAGAACCACAGAGACAATGCCCATGCCTGTCAAAATCCCATCAGAAGCTGTGACTCAAATGACTTTGCTCGAAGGTCCACGTGAGGACAACAAGGCCTCGGACAACATCACAGCAGAGTTCCAGTCTGAAGTGCAGATGGAAGGAAGGACAGACAGACAGACTCATGACAAAATCCACTTGTTAAACACACATATCTTGGCAAAACTGAATTTCCACCTGAAAAGAAAGGTCCTAGCAATGCAATTTGGAATTTCTGAAAAGGAAAGAGAATACAAAGAACTAGCTATAGTCAGCCTAGAGAGTGAATCCATACAGGAGTTTCTTAAGAGTCTCAGTATCCCAGAAAGCACAGCGCTACAGACACTGCCCAAGTCAGGTGATCTTCCTCCAGCCCCAGATGCAAGTACGGTCCGCCTGAGAAAACAGCCAGACACTGCAGTCCAGGCTGTGTGCCACAAGCAAGAGCAACCTAGGTCCAAAGCAGGGCCTCAGGATTCTGCTCAGGAAGTCTCCAAGACCTCCCGACTCAGGAATACAACCGAGGCCCAAGTGCCCAACCTAGAGGAAGCCCTTAGCACTGAGCCTCAGGGCTCAGGCAAGAGCAAGTACTCTGCGCATGTCCCCGCACTAACAGAAAAGGGCCAAGAGCCAGGGAAACCCAAGGCAGTGGACGACCCTGGAGAAGGGGACACAGGTCTTGGGCTTTCCCCAACCAGTGAAAGAACACACCGTGAGGGAGACCAGGAGCCAGAAAAGGGGCCTATGCACTGGACACCCCAGGGGTCCTCACAGTACAGCCATAGCTCTCATCTTGAGGATCCCTGTCCACCCAGCCCTCAGGATGCATCTGACCTGGAGTTCCCGGATCCACCCCCAGAAGTCCTCATGGAGAGGGAACCTGAGCATGACATGCAAGACAGTCAAACCAAGGCAAATGTCATCCCAGGACCTGCAAGGATTGCTGAGGTCTCCCAGGCTTCCCAGGGCTTGCCTTTCCTGCGCCCACCAATTCAGGGAAAGCCTGTTCGGGTCCAAACTAGGCAAGACCACATTTCACGGGGGCGGGTGATGCCAACCTCTCCTCACACTAGCCCCAGCCTTCCAGAGGCTGGCTTGAAAAATAAGGTGAAATCCTTTCTTAACTCTATTAACCCCAAGATAAAAGGCAAAACACACGTGGAACCCATGGCCTCAACACCTGCAAGAGTGGCCAAAACCAGTAAAGAAAATGTTGATAAGGGTCTGCCCCAAGCCAAAAGCCCCACCAAGAAAACTAAGGTAGAGAACTACAGAGGGCCCAAGGCCCAATCTGTGCCCACTGAGAAGTCAGTGATTGCATCCTTCTTAACTGCTCCCCATATTCTAGACAGTAAGCTCAGGCCTCGCTCTCTACAAAATGGCTCTGTGTCAATATCAGGCCAGGCCCGACACTGTCCTCGGCACTGTCCTAGATTGGCTTATGCCACTCAATACAGAAACCCGCCCTAGGTCCCAAGGTTTACCTCAGAAGTGTTGTTCTGCTAATGGAGAACGCTCAATGTGATGACAGTTTCTAGGCTCCCCAACTTCTGTGTCCCTTTAAGAACACTATTATTGTCATTTTCTTTAATGAACAGGTGGGGAGTGCACCACCCAAAATATATTCTATATCTCTAAATGAGTTGCCTGCCTTTTTTGTCTCTGCCATTCATTATTAAGGGAAGGTATGAAGGAAACAAGAATGTCTGCCCTCATCTCAGGAGATCTAAATTCACATTTTAGACAAGTCAGTTGGCCCTACCCCACCCTAGAATAAATTAAAAGACTTGAGCAGAAAGGAAGTTCTTGTGTAATATGCATTAAAGATAGTTAGGCTTTAATTCCTTCAACAAACTCTTCACCTGTCTCATATCTCCAGCCAGAGATGAGGAGATAAAGGAAGAATTCTGAGATGTTCTTGACTTAATTAAGAAGACCAAAGGCTGGAATGAAAAAGACAGGAAAGTAATTAATTAGCAACAAATTAGAGACCCATCAAAAATGATTGTCCATGTTTATGAACCTTTACTTAAATCCCATCACCACCAGGTTACTGGGCCATATTTATGCATGAACAACTCAAATGGTTAGTTCAACCAATCCGGAAGAAACTAGTTGCCCAATAGAAACTAGTTACTCACAACTCTTCCCTCTTTATAAAAATGTGCTTAGTTCCTACAATGACTATTTCCCAACTGTCTCCTGCCCTAGCTGCTGCTGAAAGCTATGAAAACTTGTCCTGGGAATCGATTCCTTCTAGCTAGTATCTAATGGCTCCATGAAAGCTTTTATTTCAGATACGCCTTCATTTCTAGTTTTGGATGACAGTTGCTAGTGCATAGTGATGCATTAATGATAGTTGCATCCCTAGTATAGACACAGCATCACGTTAGCTTCACTGATGCTCTCAGATGAGTAAGAAGTCTCCAGAGGTGTGACTTTGAGAAACACCTTGTACTCAACAAATATGTTACATCTGTGTCAGGGATTACACTAAACAATAAGACACAGGCTGTGTCACAACAGAGTTTCACAACTCATGTAGTAGTCATTTTTACATAACCAAATTGCCTACTCAACATATCCACTTGGCATCCCATTATTCACCCTCAAGTCTGCAGAAATAAACTCACACATCTGCCCCATCACACCTGTAGCAACTGCTCCAGTCAGTATTTCTCATAGAAGCTTAATGGCTGACCCATTTTTCCAGGAGTTAGGCCACAAACAACGGCACCATCCTTGACTTTTTTTCATCTAAGAGTCCACATCCAGTTCAAGAGCCAATCCTATTATCTCTACAATCAAAAATGCATGCAGACTCAGGTCTATTGTCAAGCCCTCTGCTGTTAGCCTCACAGCAGAAATATGCACAGAAACCATTATAATACAGTCCAGAGCACACAAGCATAAGCCTGAAAAAGCTATTAATATAATTTTAGTTTGGAGGCCATCAGCTTGGTATTTCCCTAAATTTAATATCCTAGGGAGCTTGGGACCATAAACACATTCTACATAAAAAATATCTACATAAAAATAATCAGATGCATCACAGATCAACAGGTCTTACATAAACTAAGTTTTTACCTTTAACATAGAATTTAAAATCTCTGACAGCAGAGCCTATAATTAGATGATTTTTGTCTCTGATAGTTCTACATAGATCAGTTTTAAACAAGTTTAGGAAAGAATAGTGATGATCATATTAAATTTATTTGATACACAGGTTCGTCTCATACACATCGTAGCAAAAATGATAAAGCGAGCAGATAAAGACAAGATTTTAGGGCTGGAGAGATGGCTCAGTGGTTAAAAGCACTGACTGCTCTTCTAAAAGATCTGTGTTCAAATCCCAGCACCTATGCGGTGGCTCACAACCATCTGTAATTCCAGTTCTAGGTGATCTGATTCCCTTTCTGGACCTCCCAGGGTACCAGGAATGCACACAATGCACAGCCATATAAATACACACAAAACATGCACACATAAAATAATGAATCTCAAAAAAATTAAAAAGAAATCTCTTCTAATCATTTTTAAGTGTGGGGGGGGGGAGCGAGGTTTTAGCCAGATAAAGCAAGATTTCCCAAATAATGTGTGTTTTTTCTGAATGGTACCTAACACAAATAGCAGTAATGCCAAGAGTTTTATTGATGACTTTGTGTTTAAGCTCTAGATGCCATACATAGTATACAATTTAGAGCACTTACTGATTTCCCTGTGTAGTCCAACCTTCTGTGCAGACTTTTGCATAACATTTGGGTGAAGCTCAGCACATAGCATATTAAGCCTGCACAGATGTATGTATATAACCAGATATTTAGATAAGGGATATCAATTATAGTATAATAACCTAAAATAATGGGTGTTTATTTAACCAGAGCTAGAAAGTGACCATTTGAAACAAATAAACATTCTTTTGAGACAATAAATAAAACAAGCATCTTTATTGGCTTAGCAACCAAGGTGGAGACATTGGTATCCATTTTAAAGACATCTTTTAAAAAATTTAAATTAACATAATATCAAAGATTTACCTAAATCATGTGAACCAAAAGACATTTAGGGCTGATTTGTGGGGGTAAGTTCGAGACAGGGTCCTTGCTGTCCTGGAACTCACTTTGTACACCAGGCTGGACTCAAACTCACAGAGATCCACCTGCCTTTGCCTCCTGAGTGCTGGGATTAAAAGTGTGTACTATCACTGTCCAACTAGGGCTGATTGTGTGTGTGTGTGTGTGTGTGTGTGTGTGTGTGTGTGTTTGCCTGCATATATGTATATGTACCATATGAGTGTCTGGTTCCCACAGAGGCTATAAGAGGATCCCCTGGAACTGGAGTCATGGTCAGTTGTAAGCTGCCATGTGGATGCTGGGAACTGAACCCAGGTCCTCTAGGAACCTGACCAGTGCTCTTAACCACTGATCCGTCTCTCTATCCCCCATTTAGGTCTGATTTAATTGCTGTAACTTACCTGAACACTCACTGATCTATAATACAATTAGTAAAATGGAAATATACAAACACAAGCATATATGTAGATATAACAAACAAAACACATGTGTATACAGCTATTCATAAATCCTCTCTGTCTCTCTGTCTCTCTGTCTGTGTCTGTGTCTCTGTCTCTCTCTCTCCCTCTCCCCTCTCTCTCTGAGACAAGGTTTCACTGTGCAGTTCTATCTGTCCTGCAATTCACTCTGTAGACCAGACTGGCCTCAAACTCACAGAGATTTTCCAGGCTCTATCTCCCCAAGTGCTAGGAATAAAGGCGTTAAACGACCATACCCAATGATTAAATCTGCACCACTAAATACAATAAGACAGTAGAAATTTACTACTTAAGCTCAGAGATACTGAGCTAAATCTAAACATCATTAAGAAAGGCTTAGATAAAAAACCCAGTGAAAATCGAAGGTCAGAGAGTGTTGTATGGCTTTGAGTGGGAATTGTTCCTAATAAGCAGGCAATGCCCTTTCTTTTGCTGTGAATTTTTAAATGCCTAACTAAAATGTCAGGCAGACACACTTTAGAGATTTGTCTAGGTAAATGTAAATAAATGCTTGATGTAATTCATTTTCTTTTTCAGTGTTATATATTTTTATTTCATGAGCATTAATTGGTGTTTTGCCTGCATGTATGTCTGTGTTGTATCCCCCTGGAACTGGTATTAAAGACAGGTGTGAGCTGCCATGTGGTTCTGGGAATTGAACCCAGGTCCTCTGGAAGAGCCGCAAACATTCTTAACCCCTGAGCCATCTCTCCATCCCCATAACTCATTTTCTAATCACATTCAGCCCTTGGAGGAGGAGGCCCAGACCTTCCATGCTCACCCTACTCGAGAGTGCTTCTTTGAGGGTCCTGCCGCTTTCCTACCCATTTTATCAGGTCAGGGCCAGGAGGAAATCCTACCGAATGTGACAGCCTAGAAGGTCAGGTGTTGGCCAAGCAAAAAGACTTCCCCCAAGTGTCAACCACGAGCCTGTATGTCACGGAAGCCCACTCATCAACGCCCTTCTGTCCCCTTATTTCAGAATAGGATTGATGAGCTCTGTATTCCAAGAGCTGGTCATCCTCAGTACAAGAGGAAAAACAGGAAAGAAAACTCTTAGGCGAAAGAAAACACTAAGGTTAAGACAGGCTGTGTAGATAAACAGAGTAACAGGATGTATAGGTTACCAAATCCTGATTCTGATGCCAGAAAAAAAAAAAATCCAGGAAGGTCCTCATCAGATGCCAGAAAGATTCCAGAAAGGAATACCAGCTCTCTACAGAAGCCTCAGGTAGGCAACTTAGATTTCCTGCAACCTGCCTGGGGCGACTTCACAACAAAGGTGTCTCTCAGCCTCCTGGAAGCAAGTCCCCTCCATCAGGCAGACCCAACAGTCTACATCTTCTCAGACAACCTTCCCCACCTCACAGTGAATACCGGAAACAACAAAAGGCAACCCTGAATATCCTTTCACTGGTAGCTTTATACTCTCAAGAAGTCACCCTCCAATGGGAACACGGCCCATGTCCCACATTGTTCCCCAAAGACATTAGGTAAGGCAGCATGTAATAACAAAACTGTGGTGCCAGGTAAGGCTACTCAGGGAGTGAGTGAAATTGGAGACATAAAGTTTGGGCCTCAGGATGCTTTTACTTTAAGATGTCGATACAGTGCTTAGCGGAGTGCTTGCCTAAGCTGTGAGGGGCCTTGCCTGTGATCCCCAGAAGTGGGGTAAGGGTACAAATTTGAAAATAGAGGAGAAAAAACCAAGATGCAGATGGAGAGGACAAGACCATGCGGCAGAAACACATACAGGCAGCTGACCTGAACAAGGAGGAACTAACGGGCCCCCAGACTGATAGCTGGGAAGCCAGCATGGGACTGACTCAGGCCCCCCTGAATATGGGTCTCAGCCAGAAGGACTGAGCAGTCTAAGAGACCTCAGACAGTGGAGCCAGGATGTATCCCTGGTGCACAA